CCTCGCTAATCTCTCGGGCTTTCAGCGCCCCCGACTTACCCCACCGGGCGGCTCGAGCCCAAATTCGGCGTGGAACGGTGGGTTCTGAAGCCCCTGACAAAAAGCCCAAACTCTTGGAGCCTGAGCCTCATTCAAAACAGCTGGCACCATGCGACACAGACTGCGAGCCCGGACTGCAATTCTTCAGAAACTGAACGCGCCGCTCTCCTACTCCCTCTTTGCTGGTCGGCGTCCGCGCATTTTCGCTCAACTCACAAGTTCTGGCAGTCACGCCATCGGCGAGACAGGGATTGGGGGCTTCGGCTTCGAGGCTTCTATCTCAATGGGCTCGGGAGCGAGGGCTCAAGGATTCGGGCACGCGCTGCTTGTGGAACAGGCCCAAAGATGCAAGGGGACGGCGCTGCGCCTGCGGACTTGCGGACTCAGAGGGGCTCTGAGGGGCCGGGCCTTGCTCCCTTTAGGGCTCCTTTGGACGGGGCCTTTGAAGACTTCGAGCTCGGCTGGGGCACTGGGACTCAGGCCTTTCACACTTAGGGCTTCCACTCGCGCTGATCTTCCGATCCCAGGCTCCCTCTCTTGCTTCCGTCTCGACTCGGATTAAAACAAGAACCTTGCGCTTTGATTCTGGTGGGCAAGGGCCCCGCTGAGATATCCCAAGATCGAGACAGTGTTTGTGTACAAGTCTGTGCCAGTGAAGCGATGGAGTTGCGTTATCTAGAAGCCTAAGACATTATTGATAGTATGCATTGAGGTTCCTTGTTATTATATACACCCATGTACACAATAGATCTGCTCCAAAATACCGGTGAAACATTCGCCAGGCCTCCTATGGCAAAGTAATCTCTCTCAATGCCTCCTTTGCTCTTGACGGCAAATGACCCCTACCGGAGCTGCTCATGGTCCCTAACACACTCATGGGTAGTTCTCGAAATTAGGGTCCCTTTTGGGGTACTATATTGGGCACCCAAGAAGGGACCCTAACTTAGAGAGCTACCCCTATAGTCGAAGAGCACTTGCCAGTGGTATTCTTTAGGGCTCCCTCTTCTGATTAATTAATTTTGGGGTATATTCTACTACAATCATAATAAGCAACCCCTAAAACCCTATTCTAATTACTAAGGCCCTAGATTAGAGGCTGAGAGACTGATCCCGACAGCTCTGAAGGAGAACCGAAAGACTGCAGCGAAGAGGGCTCCCCCCCCCCTTGTATAGAACCACCCCCTAAGGGTACCCCCTTTCAAAAAAAGGGGGGGCCCTACTAAAAAAAATAGAGCGCCCTGCAGTATACCCTGTTTTAAAAGTTAGGTCGTCAGAGAGGAGCAGGTCCCAAAATGTCCCCCCTGGCGCCTTTTAGCGGCGCTTCAAGATTTCGAACACGAGCTCCACATTGGATCGGCCCATCTCCTTTTTCTTTCTGGGGCTTTGGGGCTTTTTGGGGCCCTGACTTAGGGTTTCTACTGCTCGAAGGCTTTATTTCTTCTGTGTGTGTGCGTGTTTCGAGAGGTGTAGGGGCTGAAGGCTTCGGGCTTTGGGCGGAGGCTCTCTGGCAGAGGGCCGAGATTCCTAGTTGATCGGGGCCTGGTCCGGGCGATGACTCACATCAACTAAGAGATCGTCAATAAGACCGACAAAAAGCCGCTGCAAAGCAAGCTCGCGGCACCCTGAATTGTCAGCATCGTCCTCGAACGCGAGAGTCTTGGAAACAGCGTCGAAGTTCCTCAAAATGAAATCCATGCCTGAGCGAATTTCACACATCGATTCTTGGGCCATTCGCGAGGGGCTGCGCACTGTGGTCCTCCTTGGGGCGAAGTGTCCCTATGATCTGCAAAATCTGTGGAACGCACGGTCATGCCACATTTATAGATGCTCTCGTGAAGAGAGCGTAGAACTGTGTGAAGCTTAGGCAAGTTATCTGCCATGCAAGGGTGTTGGTGGGCACTATCGACATAGGGACGCTGGATTAAGCTTGAGTGGCTGGTATTTCCGGACAGAGGATGACAGATGTTTGGGATAGTAAGATGGTAGAACGAAATCTCTCCCCTCCCTTTCTCTTGGGTCCATGCAGCTCTGCCGCAAGTCGTTTGCAATGTGCATGTTTGCAGCCTGGCGGGAGCTCGGCTTGTTCCCGGTGCCACAAGCGCATCATTAACCAAGCTCACTTTTCCGGCTGAAGCCTCAAAGGCTCAAAGAGCTCAAAGACAACTTTGTCAGGTAACTTGGACTCATTGCCACATCATGCCTACCGCCCTCCCCAACACGATCAGGGGGTGCGCTGCAGTGCAGTCTACGTAACACTGATGACTTCAACAGATGAGAGACGGAGCCTATGTGAGGTTCAGTATATACCCTCTGCGGCATCCAGGGCTTAAAAGCTTTGGTGCCTGCAGACTTTACGCTGACAGCTGTTGCACGCGTGCGAAACTTGCCAAGATTTGCTGTCCCGGAACGTATCTGACGACTGTGGCTCTGTAGACCCCAGAGCCCATTGCTCATCATCCTAGCCTGCGGCGCCTGCATAGCGACTCTTGGTTCAGCCCGCCCAGATTATCAAAAACGCAGAAGAACAGCACAAGCGCCTGGAGGATCGTAGCCGCGCTATCGATGTTGATTGAAACGAGAATTTTCTTCTCGCACAACCTGCGCGAGATGCAGAGGCTCTACGAAAGAACTCCAGAAACTTCCTGATTTTGCTGCCACTTTTTGCCGGGGTCATCCTAATCGAAAAGGGACATGAGAGGTCCCAGTCTGCTGCCACACAACAGATGATAATGTCACTGAACATGGATGGATTCCCCATAACAAATTGTTGTTTGGATTCGTGCTCTAAATGTGTGTATATGTACAAGCATGTGTGCATACATGCATGCATGCAGGAATGTACGGTATGTATGTATACACGTATGGCTGGACGAATGCACGTACCTAGGTCTCCATGCGTGCATGGATGCATCTATGGATGGATGGATGGATGGATGGAAGGATGGAAGGAAGGATGGAAGGATGGACGGATGGATGAGTATACATAAATTCTACGTTATACTCTGACAACAAGACACACGTCTAGCACAGTGTAGTGCAGTCTAATAATACTGCGGGAAAGCTACAGTATAATACAGTCTAGCATAGTTTAGTTTTGCATAGTATTGTTGCTTTGTAATATACTTTTGTGTAGTACAATACCTTACAATATAGTATAGTAGCCTGGTCTTGTGTAGTATAGTATAGTATGGTATGGTATGGTACAGTATGGTACAGTATGGTATAAAAACGGTATAGTACGGTATAGTATCGTATATGGTATAGTATATAGTATGTAGTATACAGCGTGTAGTATATAGTATGTAGCATACAGCATGTAGTGTATAGTAGGTAGTATGTAGTATATATAGTGCATAAATATACAGTAAGATGTAGCACAGTATAGTATACTGTAGTATAATATGATATAGTATAATACAGTATACCAAGCGACAGTATAGTATAGTATGGTATCGTATAGTATAATCTATAGCCTCGCACTAGTCTAGTATGCTAAAACTATGTACTTTAGTTTTGTCTCGTTTAGTTCGGTTGAGCACAGCACCGCACAGCACAGTACACCACAGTGCTGTATAGCATTGCACACTACGGCATTGCATCGTACAGTCTTGTATGTGGCGAGCGTACATGGCACATAGCATGTAGCGTTCTGCATCTGCTATACAGTACATAGTATATCGGAAAAGGTGCATGGTACGCTGTTTATGGCACGTAGCATCATCAAGGCTATAGCATATGCAAAGCATATTCATACATATAGTATACAGCGTATCCTAAATATCATACAACATAGTAGGTACATGGATAGTTCTCTAAGTTAGGGTCCCCGTTTAGGTTCCCAAAGTAGTACGGCACCCTTATAAAGATGATCCTAAGAGGGACCCTAGTTTCGACAACTACCCATTTGGTATATGAGGCCTGAAACCCTAAACCCTAAACCCCTAGAACCCTAAACCCTAAACTATTATACCCCCAAACCCTATCCCCCTAAACCCTAAACCCTAATGCCCTAAAGCCCTAAACCTTCTGGGTCCCAGCATCGACTCCGAGTCAGGGCCTCTTCAGCCGATCGATACCAAACTGGTCCGCCGCCACGAAGAGGTCCATCGCCTCGGACCCGCGCTTTTTGGGGGGTCTGTTTAGGGGGTTTTATATTTTCCAGGGTTTAGGGGTTTAGGGGCTTAGGGTTTGGAGGGGTTAGAACTCAGGGTTTGGGGGTTGCCCCTAAACTAAGCTCGGGGCCTCCCCACCCCTCCATGGACGCATCCGGTTTGCCCCGCTCCAAAAAAGGCGAGAACACGGCTCCCTAAGAGGAGTAAAAAAGGCACAAACAACGGCAGGTCGGCCCAGGCTCCGGCGATGTCCATGGAGATTTCGAATTCATCTGTGTACAAATACCTCTCGGCAGAGTGCTTGAGGAGCCGGTTGTTGTTGGCTCGCTGTCTTGCTGGGGACCATTTCTATTATGATTATTACTACTATTATTATGATTATTTCTACTATTATTATTACTATTAATTATTCTTCTTATTATCATTATTATTATTATTAAATTATCCTTCTGAAGGTTTAGGCCTCCTTCCTCAAACTCGGACGTGGAATTCTCGTAGTTGCACGACAATGCTCGTTGAGTCCAGGTCGCTCGGGCATGGCGGCACTTGCGGCTTCATGCATTGGGGAAGCGAACAGCTTTTTGACTCATGCTGCCGCACTGGATGCGATAGCAATGACCCACATGCCTGATGTGCCCAACCCAACCCGGAGGGCCGTGAAGGAGGTTAATTAGCGCTGGGTTACCGTTACGACTCTTTCTAGGGACGTTGGCGACTGGGTTGGAAGGCGTCCGAGACGACCAGCGACCTGACCTCAACCTCTGAGAAAACTGCAGTGGGATTTCGCAATCCCTTCTTCGGGTGTATGCCTGGGAAACCGGTGCAGTGACTACCACCCGCGACAATAAATTATTGTTTCTGCATGTCCTCGCGATGAGGGCACTCCAGCAAGGCAAGGAACACCCGATGCGAGACATTGTTGATGGTGATGGTCTTCTGCTGTGCCTGCCAAGTTGTGTGGACAGCCACCTTACCCCCCTCACCCTTCGTGCAGAACTGGTCTACTCAGAGAATAAGGGCCTGATGCAAAACCAGCAGATTGCACCCTCACCCCAGGGCCTCACGCATCTGCCCCTCGAACATGGCCCGGAAGTACGAACATCGCATGCAGAGCAGCTTGTGTGCATACACCTGGCGGGCATTGGCACCCAGGGGATTCACCCCCAAAACCATAGATCAAGGAAGCCACACTTCTCCCAACGCGAAGTATGAGCTGAAGAGGAGCTTCTTGAGCCTGGGAAGGAACCCAAAAACTCTTAGAGCTACCGCAGCAAACTTAAGGGTTCCATTTTGGAAGTCCACAGCCAAACCAGTCTTTCTGGCCCACATTGCACACGGTGCTGTAAGATGACATCATATACCGGAGCCTTGACAATTAGAAGGATTGGAGTATAACAATAACAAGAAGAAGCAGCAACTCCGAGGAACGGCGTTCGTAGTTTCTTAGGCTTCTTGACATGCTTTTTTTCAAACGGAGTCCCACGGAGCTGATCTTTGGGACCCTCCTGCCAGGATGCCAGGAGACTGCTCTGCATGTCCACTTCAAGGGCTATAGGGGCTTCTTCATACCCGGAAGCCACACCAACAATCCCACACTTGCCTTTCCTACACAGCCACATGCGTGGAGGCTTGGGGGATCCGTCGGTCTTAGAAGTAAGCCCGCATTTCGGAATAACAACTCTACCTCTCTGCATCTTCCCGACGTAACGTGCCAGCATGACTGGCTTTCCCTCCACGATGAAAGTGACATCAGACCTTTGCTGCACATCCAAGGCGAGCTTCACTTCTACTCATCCTTGCGGCTTCTGAGTTTGGCTCAAAAGTCTCTCCACTAGGCCCAGAAACCGAAGAACCACGCGAGCTCTCACACTCTTTGAGGTGCAGGCAGCTTCGCATCGTTGAGGAATTCGCGCAGGTCAGAAACCTCGACTTCGCCGTTACGAGATTCAGGCACCTAGAAAAAACTCGTTCCGTCCTCGGTAGATACTTACATGGACACTCGGTCCCGATCACAACTTAGAGAACAGTGCCTGGCAGGCACCCTTTCTTTCTTCAGGAGTTGAGGTCTGAGTGCCTCGCCTCCTCAGCCCGGCCAAAAAACAGGCGAAAACACACTCCCAAGCAGATAGCAAGGCCGGCGCCAGGGAGCTGCTGGGAATGTCAATGTTGACTTCTGTGGCAAGCTTGAACCTGTGGGCGAGTCGCAGCTTGTTAGGATTGAGGGTTTAGGGCTTAGGGTTTAGGGATGAAGTTTGGGAGGCAAAAAGGTTGCAGAGTCCAAGAGGCTGCAGCTCCTGTAATCACCAAGCTTCACCGGCTTCAAAGGCTGACGTGTCCCGGTCCTCGGTTCCTTCAGTGACAAGGGGCCCCTTTTCTTCTGCTCTTACGAAGAAATCGGGTCCTGAATCTGAACAGGTAGCCCTCTGTTTTGGAAGGTCATATCAAAAGTCATGTAAAAAAATGAACGGCCCCCTACGCCCGAAGGCCTTACTTTTGCAGATGCCTGGACCGCAACTGCCGAGCTCCCAGCTGCCAAAAATCGTTGAGCCGCTGTTGGCCGTCGTAGCCACCGAAGACGTAAAGCGAATTGTTGTACCTCGGCGTGCATCCTAGGTGAAGTGAAGAGCTCGAACAGGAGCTTGACCATTGCAATTTCAGTGGTAAATATTGACTTCATACAGACCCCAAAAAGCCTTCGCAGGCAGTTGGGGAGCCGCTCAACGACCGCCTTCTCACATGCCGTTTGATCCACGGGCTCTGGACGGCTCTAAACATGCGATTGAGGAGTAGCTCAGAAAATCGAATCATGGGTCTCATCACAGTTCCGCACCTGGACACTCTGAAAGTGAGAAGCTGAAGCATGCGCTAGTTCCGACACCCATCCAAAATAAAACAGAGAATGCCCCAACCTACCACATGTAGCCTTGAGGACCTATGAATTCGGCACTTGCCCTTAAGGGTCCACGGCACCGAGGCCCTGACACGTCACAGGTGTGGCAGAATCCTGCCCGAAGCTGTTGCGCTTCACACCGGGGTTTAGGGTTTAGGGTTTTAGGGGTTTAGGGGTTTAGGGGTTTAGGGGTTTAGGGGTTTAGGGGTTTAGGGGTTTAGGGTTGGGAGGTCCCGCGGCAGGCAACCATTGGAAAATTGAAAATCAATTCTTTTAAATTAGAGTGATTCAAAACCTAAACTGTAGGGTTTAGGGGCTTAGGGCCACCCCCCCTCACCCCGTTCGACCACAAGGCATCAATCCAGCGGAGCCGCGACCCTCGCCCTAAGCATTCAGCAGACCCTTTTGCCCCTAAATACCGAGGAGCCCGCCCTCACCCTCAAACTCAAATCTGAAGACCCGAAGGCAGCATGACTATTACTACCATGACGATCCTGATGACGAGGATGATGACATCGACGAGAATTATTGTTGCAATCACCATCACTATCCGTGTCAGCTGGGGCCACGGCTGGGGCAGGGGACATTGCTCTTCTGGGCACCAGGCGTCGTCCGCACCTGCAGACTTCTGAACTCGGCTTCTCCCATGGACTCATCTCTATGCACAAGCTCGAGACTGAGAGCATCAAAAAGCCGACCCCGTCTCAAGCTTCGGGAAAGGGGGCCTCTGTCCACTGGTCTGTCTCGAAACTGAAGGCGTACCTGCACTGTCACCGGACTCGCATCCTTCATGGAGCTTTTAGGCTTTTAGGAATGGATTTCCAAGACATCCCAGGCTTTCTTCCGGGCTTCCAAGAGGAAGCTGACCCAGGGCTCGGGGTGCAGGGGATGCCTTTTTCCCGCTGCTAATCCTGATTGCAAAACAACATCGCGGCTCCGCAAGCCTTCATCATCATCATCATCATCATCAGCGCTTTGAACGGACTTCGAGTGCTGGAAAAAGCTAGCAATTGCTAATTCCGCAGGGCACAGATCGTTTCGTGCGCTGCCAGTGCTACCTCCGAAGAGGTACATGGAGTCGCCGCAAATGACTGCCTCGACAGGAGCCACTGTTTGCACATACCTTGAAGCCGATGCCAGCTGTGGTTTTCTCAGACATGATGCAGACTACAGCTACAGCATTCAGCAAAGCAATATGCTAGTTTGCTCTTGGAGTTTTCAACAGTGCGTGGTCAGGAAGGACCACGAACACCAGAGCCACTCCAAAAAATAACTAGATCTACTACTAGTGTTTACTGCGAAGCGATGTGGCGGACTACTCGCAGCATTATGACGATTACTGATGGGCACACGTGCTGTTCTTTGATCTCAACGTAACAGTCTCAGTTGCAGCAGCTGAGGTTGTAGTGGTGGTTATAGTGGCTGCTGCGGTAGCTAATGGCAACTGCAATCGCATAGCAGAGGCAGTTCAAGTGTGTGGAGCAGTAGTCGCATCTTCGTCCTCCTGGTCAAGCACCCTAAACCAAAAACCCTAAACACAAAACTAGGCTGCGTACTCCCCCAAGCCAAAACGACAAAGCAAATCCCGGCGGGCTCCAACTCTGCATTCGGCTTTGGCTGGGCTTCTCGTGGATTTGGCAGAAGGGTCGATGTTTGGTTCAAGAACTGACAAAGTCTCGCAGCTTTACATTGATTGATATATATATATACATACATACATACTTTTTTCATTTAACTATTTATGTTGTTTATTTCTTTATGTAGAGTATTTGTTTGTTTGTTTAGTTACTGGTTTGTTTAATAATTGATACACATTTTGTATTTCTTTATATCACTTTGACTTTGTTTACATGTATATATGTATAGTCCCTGCAGCCAGCGGGCCGAGTGGGAGTCGCGCGGCGACGGTGGAGGGACCTGCCCTGTGGTTTCCACCATGCTCCACCTCGGCAGCTTGGAGGGTCCCTGGCCCAAATCGCATGAAGAACCGGATATAGAACACCTAAACCCTAAACCCTAAACCCTAAACTTGGCGCTTTAAACACGAGCTTTCCTTCCGAGAGGGTTTTCTCTGCCATACAGAGGACCCGTGGTGGTGGGGCGGGGGTGGGCGGGGGGCCGGGGGTGGGGAGGGGTTAGCTGCCTTTTCACTAGTCTTTCGATCGCTTGGACAAACGCGTCGTGCCCCAGGCCACAGAGAACAACACCGGCGGAAATGTGTGGCCTACTAAAAACGGAGCCACTGGATTGTGCCCAACTTTTCCTCAGGGGCAAGTCCGATCTTACCAGAAAGCCCGGCGGGTCTTAGGCTTCCAATGAAGGCACATTCACGCACCCCACATTCCGAACATATCACCCGACAGCCAAGCGTTTGTAACTTCCCTAGGTTCATGCTTCCGACACGAAATGATGAAACATCTGCTTCGGCATAGCAACTCTGCGTCTGTCCAATGATTGCTTGGCTCGCTAGACCTCACTGAGCAATCACTCGCGACGTTCCCTCCGCGTCTGTTCGAGCAAACAAGATACATATGCTGGGTGGCAGGAAACTTTGGGGATTCTTGGTGGGGTGAGTCGGGTTTCTGCTTCTGAAAGCAGCTACAGGGACAAGGGCAAAATGGCAAAATGGGACTGTTAAGTCCGAGCCGTTTTCGTGCAGTGCTTGCAGTCTGTTCTGACGACTACGTCTGCCGCTTCTACACCAGGCCACAATGCCACGGTGCTCCACGCAGCAGCTAAGCAACATCTCGTATCGGATGAACAGCTGCCATCACTGGCGCATGCTATAATCGGTGGGCCTGGAGGGCCAGAAAACTGCGTGTGAACCGCAGACCCTAAGCCGGGCGCTCGTTATCAAATCCCTAGAGGAGCAATGGCACACGCCAAAGCAGAGCTGCATCATGACTGTGCCGGCAGCTCCAGCGGCTCATAGCCACTCCTCTGGAGAAAGGCCTGTTCGGATGGCTGGGTCGAATGTGCCCTGTTCGGTCTGCACAACAAGAGAAAAGTCATGCCCCGACAAAGAACAGCAGCAGCGTCTGCAGGCGGCGTCGTACTACTCCATCCAGAAGTAGCAGCAGCAGCGAAAGGACAGCAGTGGATGTTGCAGTTGTTGTTGCCGCCGCCGTAGCATATGCCGCAGCAGCAGCAGCAGCAGCAGCAGCAGCAGCAGCAGGGGGAGGGGGAGGGGGCCGAGCAGAAGTATGCATGTGATCATCATCACCCTCCTCATCACCCTAATTGTCGTCCGTGCGACACTCATTCAGTTAAATCCCGAGATTGCCGGAACCTGGGCATCCGCTTCGCCAGCAGCCCAGTACTTCATCATCCGTGCCGACGAGAACATGAAGGTGCAATCCTGAATCAGTCGATGGGGAGTGGGGGAGGGGGAGCTTCGCGCAAAGAAACGAAGCCTCCGGCCTCGAGGACTTTCGGGCGGGTTTCTACTGTAGGGGCCTTAATGTGCCCTTTATACTGTTGTACTACCTTCATAAATAAGGAACACCCAGAATAGAAAAGGTTAATTATTCAGGCCCCTGTGTTAGTCTTTCGTGGTGGCGTTAGGGTCCAGACACAGGGCCTTGAAGCCTCGGGTCTCATGGCGACCGCATGCGGCTGCAAGCGGGGCCGGGGCGAAGCAGAGAAACTCCAAGTCCGCCAGAAGAGTTTAGGGTTTGGGGTTTAGGGTTTAGGGTTAACCGAAACTGGTCCTTGAAACAGAGAACATCTCCCCTCCCACAGCCCATGACTTCCGAGATTTGCTGACACGTTTGCCAAAGTTTCTAGGGGTCCGGCCCTAACCCTAAACCCCAAACCCCAAACCCTAAACCCCGAACCCGAACGCCTTAAGGCCTCGGAAGCCTCGGAAAAAGAGCCGCCCAAAAGCCCCCCAAAAAAAGGGCCGAGGGGCCCAGGCCGCGCAGGCGGACTGGGCACCGAGGCGCCAGCCCCGGGCTCCGACGGCGCAGGGCAGCACCCAGGAGCCTAACAGTTAGGAAGGCTTTGCTTAGGGTTTAGGGTTTAGGGCTTTGCTCAGCGAATGGAAAAAAACCCCAAAAAACCGCTCTAACTTTCATATAATTTTGAACCACTTCGGGCCTCACTAGAGGTCTAGTAGCAGTAATCCTACGAGGAGGAGGAGGAGGCGGAGGAGGAGGAGGAGGAGGCGGAGGGGGATGCGGAGGCGGAGGAGGACCCGAGCAGCAGATGCAACCGCCGGAGCAGCAGGACGATGTGGAGAAGGAGACAGCTTTGCAATCGAAGTTGGGGCTCTTCGAAATATCAAACGAACTCCTACAAAGACTCCGGATACAACAACAATCTTGTGTCATTCGAACATAATCGTGCGGGCCGAGTTCAGGAAATCATAGGAATCCGAGACCCGAAGCTTCTCGAGCCAAGCCTGGAACTCCACCCACTTCCCCCCCCCCCACAGAAGCAACGGGGCGCCTGCATCGGGGCAAATGTGAACGGCCTTTGCACTCACCTGCGCCAAGCTCAGGGGCGCTGAGGTGTAAGATCTACGATTCACAGTTCACCATCCGGGAGTTGCAGGACACAAGGGACCACAAAGCAGATCCATCATGGCAGGATCCTTGATACAACATGTAGTGTAAAGCTTCCCTCGAGACTACTACTGAACTACTGCCGACATTGACGCTTCGTCTACAGGGTTTTGAGATTCTTGAAACTTGTGCCATGGGGAT